TGACCTGTTATAGTCCTGTGACAAAGTAGACATTGAGATATAAGAAATAGAAGTTTGGTACTAACTGGTGCCAAAACATTTGTGCCTCACTGCTGATATCTCATAGAAAGGTTACAAGTCACGATTAAGACTTGCTTCCTTGTTGAGAAACTGGATCATGGCTAGACACACAGCTTATGGAGAATGAATTCTTTACAAAGTTGGTCACTTGTTAATGAAAAGAGTTAGCCGGCAATTTAGGGGAAAATCCCACATGGCGTCGATTTACGTCATTGTAATCAATTCCACCCATGGATGTCAAATGACATGTCTTTCTGAGCCTTTCATGCATTAATCTGGGCTCTTCCAACGAAGCTGGTAGCTATAGGAACCAATAAGTCCATCCTTACAAAAGTTTGATAGTTAAAGACCAACATGGCAATCTACTTTTCCTAGTTCATATATAATATAAGCACATACTTACAGATTTTGGTGCCAAGGGTTATCATTCATGTACATGCAGTCAAACTTATGATTATCACATAAGAATAAATCTATAAATTCTAAGCCGACCAACTTCTTCATACTTTTTATTAGAGGTATGAAATTCATAGATCTAGAGTCTGGTTGTCAAATTTGAAGTCTGGCCTCACCACAAGGCTTCCAGTCATTGGCACCTCGGAACTGGTTTTGACAAAGGGAATTAAGTTTAGTCCTACAGGGCTTCCAGATATAACTTCAAGTTCTATTTTACCAGTCACTTATAATAGATAAAAGATTTAAATCTCACAAAAGCTGATTCATCCATACAGTCTAAAGCACATTTCAATGAAAAATGATCATAGTGAAAGAAAGTGGCTGTGAGTAGATATATGTAGTATAATCTGTAATAGGTAGAGTCAGTATTTATTGGACTCAATTTACACTCTAGGAGATCCATAGCTCTCGGTAGCATACCCACGTCCTGCCTCCAATTTGACTTACGTACTTTTGACTTACTTGATAGCCTATTCTGCTGTACAGTGTTATAACTCACTACTACCTGCCAGGGCACCCCCATTTAGGAAGTTGTTATGCCCCAGGTTTATGACGTTTCCCATTCCACACATACCCGTTAGATTGCCAATTCCACAGCTGGCATTAAGTACGTGACAGCCACAATTATACCAAGGTAAGAACATAAACAACTTTTCACAAGTGAAATTTTTATATAGATACATCTGGGTGGGTGGAGAGATACTTAAGGCGCCCCAAGAGTGTAAAAAAGGCTGTTTCGTTGATGATACTGCGACTGATACGTTTTTGTGATTGAATCTCTTTTATGGTGTCAGATGGGGATTGGTTAGAGACACCGTTTACGAGAGCTCTACATTGGTCAGCAGTCAGGCAAAGTAAATGTTATGACTTCTGAAGTCCATTTTTCAGCCCAGTTTATTTCATGGAATTTTGTCACTCATGCTCTTGGATATCAAGAACGTTTGGGTTGATAGAGACTAAGTCAGTACCTGGCAGGGAAACAGTTGCTCAACCTTCTCAATGCTGCTTAACAAGTAAACAATTTGTACCAAAACTGTACTTAACCAGAACAGATCAAGGGCTGAATTAGATATTAACCTTGGCAACAACTGTGCACCCTTGTTTTCTTCTACTGGATTTATAACTAAGTTGCTTGCTGCAATAGTTAATAGCACCATGCAAAATTGAACTTTATATGCAAAATCTTGTTGGATACAGCTCTTGTATCAAATAATTAAGATGAGTACAACTTTTTCTTGTTATAGATAATTTCATTTCCCACTTAGTCTAGTATCACTAAAGAAAAGCTTAGTTTTCTATTTACTTAAAGTTTTGGTATCGTACCACGGAAAAGTGCCAATACTTCCCCCAACCTCGTCTACTCAAATTCTTAGAATCTCAAAAGATTTCCTGAAATTTCCTTGTGTCTTCTGTCCTGACAATATATCGTATCTTTTGAGAACCACCTTGAGATTTTGAACCACCCTGTTTTACTCCTGCAGATGTTTCAGACCACGATGATTCAAATTTCCCCGAGTCAGCAAGACTGCAATTTATGATATTGCTTTCTGGCACTCCTCCAAGTTGAGGCCTTTATTGATAAAACATGTCATAGTCTTTCTTTTGCAATGCACATGAGGTCTTAGTACCAAGGGAGGAGCAAGGGAAAGATTCATGTTATTGAATCGCATATTGTAACGTACCAATTATATATCTTCTGGCAACCATGTCTTGCATAGCAAATTACCTGCGCTGGCAAATGCAATGTTTTTTGCTAGAAGATTTTCCATCCAATCCTGTTGAAATTTGACAAGTACAATGTCGTGTATTTTAAGGAGGCGTCAAGATACACTACAGTAACTGTAACATTTAAGTTATGGCCCATTTTGCTCTCAGGCTGGATAATAGAATATTATGCATTTGCTAGTCCTTGTCTCCAGTATTTCATACAAAGCTGAATATTGTTACAGGTCTGTAAAGTGTAATGTTATGAAAATGTACTGATACTAAAGGTACCCTTGATGATGAATAATTTCCCAGGTAAGTTGGTAAACGTGCCGTGCCTTGTATTAACCTGGTCTCCGTCCAACCATCAACCTGCAAGTCTCTTGTATCCAGCTGTAAACTATTTTTAGAATGAAAAGTTGTCCATAATGTTATGTAAGTAGCATAGAAATTCAATCCTCCCGACACTAAAGGTACCCTTGATGATGAATAATTTCTTAGGTAAGTTGGTAAACGTGCCGTGCCTTGTATTAACCCAGTCTCCGTCCAACCTTCAAACTGCAAGTCTCTTGTATTGCACTATTTTGAAAAGGAAAAGTTGTTCACAATATTCTGGTCCCCTTGACGCTAAAGGTACCCTTGATGATAAAGTATTTCTTAGGTAAGTCGGTAAATGTGCTGTGCTTTGTACTGACACTGTCTCCATTCAACCTTCAGTTGCAAGTCTCCTGTGTCCAGCCGTAAACTATTTTTAGAAGGAAAAGTTGTTCGCCCAGATAAAACCTTTCCTTGTTATTGATTTCACCCGTTCTTTATCATCCCCATCCACAGCGCAGGGGTTTTTCTTCCTTCCTGGCCGTATAGATAAGTTGGATTTCAGCGGCGTAGATTACTGGACTTTCCCAAAGTGTGGCCTTTAAAAGCATGGGGGATTGTAGGAAATCCGTGTGGGAGTGAAGAAGGCATCCATTGATTTGATGAGGTACTGTAACTTAACCTGCTCTGTGCTGCCTATAACCTTATAACCATTAGGGAAATAGTACTAGCCAAATGGCTACATCAGTGTGCCACAGGTTAAAGGGGGTATTGTGTCATCAACAGGTCTATTTTGCTCATTTACAGCACTCTTGCCTTTGGGGTCACACTGATGTTGTATCAGGTATTGCCTCTTATAAACTTTGTCTTACCTATCACACTTAAACACGAGTGTTAAAATTGTGTAAGTCCAGACCACGTCAATGATGTTTTTGTAAGCGTGCTTGATGGTACAGGCCTACATCCTTGTACAATCAAGATTCCATCAAGTCTGAAGGCAAACCAATGTTGGAGGCAGCCATGTATGAAATTGCTTGCAAGTGCTTGTCTGTTTTGTGAGCGGAAAAACATGGTATCAGACGTGTCCCTAATAACAGATTACCTAAATTTCTTTCTCAAGTTCCCTCTGTAGATAATTGATGTACGTAACCATATCTGTAACAGGTACGAAGAACTTTTAAAAAGACTTGCGCACTAATTGACTGCCAAATAAAGGACTAGCTTCTGTTCTAGGGTGACCGTCTCATTTGACCAAAGAAGGCCAAGAGAAATTGATTGCAAGTTTTGCTTAGTCATGGACGTTTGGTAAAAGCTTTTGACATTCATGGCAGCTTGAAGGATCTGTTTTTTTATAGCGCAGTCTAGTACTGGATTTTAGTAATAAGTTATGCATACTTTCTGCTTTAATGTCTAATAGTACATGCAGGTTTGATACAGTTTGGGATGACAAGTTATAGCCGCTCATCAAACAGTATCTAACTAGATGTCATTTTAATCCTGAATCCTTGACTTTTGTGACCTTGAAAATAAATATATCCATTTAGCATTTACAATTGACATTTATGGCACTGACAAATGAATTACAACAGAACTGCACCCTCTCCAAACCTTGTTATCCTTGATGTTTTTGACTTGACTTGGCTTGACCTTTCCCTGGAGCAATCAAGGATGTTGGAACATTTCCTCGCAAAGAGGTTTTTCTTGATAAACAAGGTTTGAACAACAGTTTCTCAATATACATTGTACCTATCCAAATTACATGACTCAAATGTTCTTTTGAATGTTAGATACAGACTTACAAACAGTTCACCACCAAACTTTAGAATAAAAGACATTATCATGCAAACTTTGAACTTTCAATTTCTGGTAAAGCTTCAAAGATATATGAATTCAATATTGTTTTTGTGGATGAAAAATGACATAGCACAAATACCATCTAGCTACATGCGGTATCCCTACAGCTAACTTCGTCTTATCAAGAGAATTCATGAATGACGATAGCACGGTAGTAAAGCCTACCGCCGGAGGGTGGGTGTTTTTTATCTGATATGAAAGCAGTTGCCCTTATCTACGTTTAATCATGAGGACTTTGTGATTTACAGTTTTGAAGCACATCAGAAGTTAGAAGTGCATCTTACTCTACCATCATTTTCCTTATGCTGTGCGCTCTGTTTTTATGACAATGATATGCCGTAGGTTGGGGGTGTTCTAGACTGGATGACATGTATAACAGGTGGATGTAGTGAAGGGTTGGTTAGGATTGTGCCCCTTCTTCTTTTGCCAGTTATGTACCACTACAAGAACGTAACAACTAGGTGTGACCGGCTCAGTTGTAGAATGCTGTAACATTAGCATCAGAGACATTTTATTTCATGTCTTCAACTGACATTCCAAAATTGTTAATGGTGTACACTGTTGCATTTAATGATGTTGACTGTTGTTGTCCTTGTTATGTTTCCCTGCAGTAATCTGCTTTCCAGTCCTGGACAGAGAAGGCAGTGATCTCCTAGCAATACTGTTGGTAAGTATGTTTAATATCTGCTTATGGAATTGCAATTGTGTGACTACAGAGGACAGTGAAACCTAAGGCTAAGCGATTACAATTTTGCTTAACCAGGAAAGTAGAACTGTTGTATCCATGGCCATTAGTTCAACAGTTCATACATTTGTAAGTCATGAGCATGCATTAGGTCATTTTCTACCTGCTGTATACAATTAGTATATCTGGGAGAAGTCCTTCAAATCTTCCTGTCTCCTGTAAGAAGTGATTTTGAGGCTCAATTTTTTTACAAGAGTACCTCCACTCAGGATGAGAGTCACTGAGGTAGATAAGTAAGTTACAAGCACATTGAAAAATGTGAAAAATAGGACAGGTGTCATCCACAAGTGGGGACTGTCTACCCTGTGTGTTGGATCTAGTTGCTGACTTATTACTAATTCCATTTTTACAAGCACATGGGCGCCTGAACCATGTAGGAAGATGGGCCCCCTGGTTCCAACTAACACAACATGTCCCACTCAGTTTACTTCATTAAAGAATGTAAGATTGGGCACTACTTTATAGCTTGTGTCTAAGCCTGAACAAGGCTATAAAGTTGCAACACCCACACAAAGACATGCTTGCACAGCAGTAATGGATCATTTATTCTTTGCCTTGGTTGAAATCTGATAAAGTTGAGGTATTAAAGAGATGTTATTATAGCTTAAGTTCAGCAGTGCCAGGTTCCCTAAGGTCTGCACATTACAGTCTGCATACTATTAGATGTCTTTATGGAATGCTTCGACACTGAGTTGCAGTAATGGCTTCCTGGAATTGTGAAATATACATGTAACTGTTATATATATACTCGATCTACTCCAAACCTGACTTTAAGGTGACATGCAGCCTAATGTTTATTCAATTAGTTCCAGGTAACATGATGATGAGCTAAGCCATACTGGCTTGGTTGCTTTTTAAAAAGAATACTTTAAATATTATTTTGAATGCTTATTCTTTTTGTATCTTCAATATCTTGTGTATTATTATTATAGAAAACATCAATTTTTTAACAAATAGCATGATTGCAATCATTCTTAATCAAGACTTAGACATGTAAAATCATCCATTATAAACATCATTATGGGGATCAGTTTTTCAGTGCTACAAAGTTCCCACTGACGTTGATAGACAAGAGCAGGAATGGTAATATTGTTCTGATACCTTAAGGCAGTGTTGTCATACCTGCTGTTGCATTGTTTGGCTTCCCATGGCTTAGTTGTAATCTTAACAAGGAAAGCTAGGCTAGAGATAAATGGAGAAGTAAAGGCTATCTATGGCTTAAGAACAGTCCCACTTGTCTATTGAGTACACCACTAGAGACCGATCTGTCATTGTCGATGTTCCCATCAAGTAAGTTTGCTAAGCCTAACTTCCTTCAAAGTGGGTCTTACTAAAGTGAGTATTGATTTTTGTATTTTGGTGCTGTCGTCACCAGCTAGTGTGGAACAATTAGGTCAGCGTTGTTGTTGTGCTTGTGGCCAACGGGACTTTAAATCACTGATGACTGAAGAAGTCGGGTCAATCGATTTACGGCAGCCTGTGGCCTCGTTAGTTTGAGACTTGGTGCGGAAGTAATGCACACTTGGAAAAGGTCATTGTTATGATTTATATCCTCGCATTCATTTTTCCTGAAAGCAAAGGGATGAGGCTGCCACAAAATAATGCTCAAGAAATAAAGATAATACACAACTGAACTTGTTTTGCTCTGGTTTTGTAGAGTTGACCTCAAGGTATTGCTTTTCCGCTGGTGGACAGGAAACATGGCAATAAATGGTTGCAGTAAATTTTCTGTTTCAATATCAGATTGATCTTTCTTAAAAGATCAACAGGTGCATGGCAAAGAAAAAATAGTAATTATTAGTTATACTTAGCTGATTTTTTTCTTTGCCAGCTCATTTTACTTATAGGAGTTGGGTCTACTTACTCTTTGAATGAGACCTTTGAAACTTTTAGACCCAACTGAAATAATTTTCTCCTATAAATTTGACATTCATACTGTTTTATCAACTGCAAGTTCTCCAGGATTGATTCTAATTGATGCTACAGTCTGTTTAACCTTCACACAACCAAAGGTGCATCCATGAAGCTCATTTATTTTGATCATAGATGAAGCCACAGGGAGAGGGTTAAATGTTACACATTACAGATACCAAGCGCCTTGTGGTACAGTTTATAATTAGCTAGTACATGCCCACAGGGATGGGAGGCTGTTATATGAAAATGCTCAGATCGATCCTTATCGGCTCTGCCTGTCCTAGAGTCATGTTAATCCTTGTACCAAATCCCGTAACTAGTTGCATCCAGGGTTTATCCCTTTAAATTGTAAAGGAGGATGTGACGGAGTATGCCATGCCTGAAGGAATTGACTCACTTCATTAGTTATTGACCTGTCCCATGTCATGCAAATTTGTCTTCTTTGCATTTAGAAAGAGGTTTTGAAAGTTCTTCCAACTTTGTTTCTTGGTAGTATTTTTGCATGGAGTAAGCTTGACTTGATTCTTTCATAGTTCAGATTCAAATTCAGTTTATATATTGCTTTAATTACAATCAAGTACTGTGATTGCTGTGGCGCATAAAGGGTGTACAAAAATTGATATTCGTGAATGGTTTCATCATTTTAGTATATCCCTTTATACACAACTACTATAGATAACTTGGCAGCATTTGTGGAGACCTGCCTCAGGGCAATATTGACTATTGTTGTCTGATGAAGAAAGGAATAATGACAAAAATGATTTCTATATTTAATCTCATCAATTGTTAAATGGGTGCCCCTGAGATATCCTCTCAGGAACATGTGTCTGATTTTGGCTTGTGTACGTGTGTGAAATTTCGAGTTGGTGCCCTGAACACCATTTTTCGCAGCTTTAGATTATATCCTATGTTTAAACATTACACAGAACATCCCCGTGGGTTCTCTCCTAGAACCTATTACACCTATTCCCTATCTCCACCTCCACCAATATTCTGGTGTTTGGGAAACCTTGCACGATCCCTGGCAGGGAAATATGTAAAAGGACCAACTCCCCAAGGTGTGGATAGACCAGACCATTACGCACCACATAATGGGTTCTGAAGCATCTATTGATTTTTTCCAAATTCCACATTGATATTCTGATATCCAGTTAATCTGGTTATTTTCAGTCGGATGCTGGGTTGCAACAAGGTAGACTTTGATAGATAACAGGTGTCTTGTATGTTTTGATTGTCTCTTCTTTTACTTAAATTGTTAATCTAGTTAACATAAACCTTCAAGTGAAATGCCTGAAATACATATCAATTTTTCAGTGTGCTTTGAGAATATAACACAATTACTGCTTTATTTGGTATATGGAGATTGTTAGGGAAAAAGTTAAACTAGTTCAGCACAATTGCATTTCAAATGATGGAACAGGATTTTTGTTGCCATCTAACGCATTCATTTTTGTGCCAATTTGTTCAACATGTGACTGGAACCACTCTTTGATTTGCGTTGGCCTGCCGTAACATGTGGTACATATCGGGTTTTACTCACTCTCCGCTGTGTTTCAGATCAGCTGCAGCAGACCGGCTCAGCTCCACTATGACAACCTGTCACTCCTAGGCAAGCACGTAAGTAACCGTTTTCAACCGCCTATCTCTTCTGTGTCTCTTGCGTGTGGGTACAAATGATTCGATGCTTGTGCAAGGAGAAAGATAGTATTACATAATTGATACCTGTGGGGCACAGTGTCTTCGTAATGTTTAGAGTGAGTAAGTTGTAAGAACCTATTACTAGTATTAGTCAAGGTATTAGCTCGACTTTCAAGACAACTACAGGTATGCACATAAAGGTGTATTTCACCAGGTCCTGTATTTGACAATTAGTTATATGTCATGCAGCATTGAAAACTGTTTCTAGGTGCTTCAACTTATTGCATTCAATGTGAAGGAATGTCTTCAAGATTATTATATCCATGCATTAGAAATTATTCAGCATAAGTTTGTTTTGTTATTTTACATCAAATTTTGATCATGACATGAAGCACTTTTGAGAGAACATTAGATGCTAGAAAGATAACAGTTGAGTAATGTACTGAATAGCTTACGTGCCATTACATCATTGCATCATTAAAATGTCATTTTGGTCATAATGATGACAGGCCAGTCATATCACCATTATAAGAAAGCCATTTCTTTCCAGATTGAATATGTCATTGTGGTTGAACTAAGTCTTACATTGTACATTATTTCAATACTGGATGAAATATTACTAATCAGGATCTAAATCTGGAGAATCTAACCCCTCGGCAAGGTCTGTCGTCAATGCCACCAAGTATCTAATTTGCTAGCAGGGACCTTATAAAAGGAGAAGGGACTAGAGGGTAAAGATGATATTCACGTCTTACAGCCTAGTGTAGGATGCATTGTTGCGGTCCAGGCTTGTGCGGGGGACTGTGACGGTAGGAACAATGGTGTTGCTGGAAAAGAAAATTGTGACATATATCAATATAGTTACCCTGATGACTCAAAGGGATGTCCCAAAGACTCTTACAAAAGGTACTAGATGGGCAGTTTCAGAGCTCTTCCCAAATCTTGTCTACCCAAGGATGTGTTAGCCTGTCACCACTGCTGATTTTTTTACAGTGCAACAAATTTGCCCACTGAAGAATTGAATAATTCTTGGAAATAATATTCAAACCTGCAAACCTGCTGATGACCTTCGTTGCCATTGCCACTCTAGAAAGAGCATTTTAGGTCCTATGATAAACAGTGTTGTGCAGCTGAATACAGATCATTGATTATGACTGGATGAAATAAATGACATTGTATATTTCACCTCTGATCACAGAGAATCAAGCATGTTCTAGAACCCTTTGGAGAACACTATTGCATCATTTGGACACACAGTAGAATTCTGGAACATCATTTTCAAGGTCATAATGTCAACAACCATGAAGAGAACATGCCCATTACTGAAATCCATTGATTTTCTGGAACACTTTCCCCAATGATGATTGAAGACCTCTCATCAATATAAGCATCACACTTCATCAGCACTTCATGGAGAGGCAGCTTTCAATCTCCAGTTTTGTTGTACATTAATTTGTAGCATTTCCCACTCTGATGTAGTCCTGAAAACAGTGTTAATCTATGGGATGTAGTTGCAGTGCATTCAGATCATGGAGTGATGTAAGTATGATACCGAAATAGCACATAGAATACCTTTCAGGAGAGGTGCTTTTTTATGATCTAACTACTCTTAATTCTTTGCCCGATACCCTCAACAAAAGTGGCCATCAGTATGCAAGAAAGTTTCCTCAGAAAATACAAGCCTCCATAGTAAATTGTTGCTTCACTTGAAATGAAATGAGAATACATATGCCAGGTTCTGCTTGGCTTGGTCAGAAATCAATAGGTATCATCGCTGCACCTTAATGAGAGTGTGTTACACGTATCCCCAGAATTAATGAGATTGCAGCGGACCATTGGGCAATTACTCAAGATGAGATGCATATAATGAAAACCTCAGTTTCAAAGTCTGGCAAGAAACCAGCTTTTATACATTAATTTGCTTTGTGCATCACTTATATTTGCGTGTCAATTTACATGTTATTATTCTCTTTCTACTTTTATGCATACCCTGACAGTATGAAACTGTACAGTTGTACTTTCTTATGTTCTTGTTCAAAGGAAGTATTGTATCGATTCTGTTTGGAGATAGTGCTCAGGTGTTGGCTTTGTCATGATTTTGATTTGTAATCTCTTCATCAAGAACACCTTCTGGGAAGGTCAAATATCATGCTCCGTGTTGTGGTTGACCTAAATTGTACAGTTTAAATATTCATGAACCTGACTTGGTGGTCTTGTATGCTGTACATGCCTGTACATGATTGTTGGTGACATGGTAACAGGAATTGTAAAAATGCAGTAGTCATGTTTTGCTTTTTACAACTTTTTATTTCCATTTTGTAATTTCACACCTGAGTTCGTCTTCAGCAACCATTTGTGCCGTTCTCGTTACATCAGTAAATCGTACTACTTATAAGGATGACAAAATTGTTCTACAGGGAGCTAGTAATTAAGTAACAAATGTTACAGGAAGACACCAGCATTGAACACCATTCTCATTCTCTTGGTACCATTTTAGTTAATACTGTATGTCATTTCAGAAAAATCTGTTCTGTTCGAACGAGTTTTGAAAAAGTGTTTTCATGCACCTTCAATCATGTTACTTACAAGGTATTTTCCAATTTCATCCCTTAAGGTAGAATAGCAGAGCAAGCCTAATCAGTGATCAAATTGGACCTGTGTCTAAATCTGTGGAAATGTTTGGTGCTGATTGCTGCATACTCAATGACATATTCAAGACAAAAAGACTTGCACGGATTTGTGTCTTTGGGAAGGAAAGCTAGGTCTTTGCATCTCATTTTCACACAGCGCTTTGCATCTCATTGTTGCACAGTGCTTGACTTGATAATGTTGGGGTGTTGGTTTGGTGAGTGATGGGAGGATGATGTTATCTGTTCCTCCAGATTGCTACCTGTTACAGTCGGTTGAAGCAGGTGCAGATCCAGTCAGGCGGGGCCATGTCGCACACGCCAGCCCGCAGACAAGATTCAGGGACCATCGACACTCAGGCAATACTACAGCTCTGCGGTATTTCTTCCCATGTTTTAAAACTTTATACAGTCATATAAACCATCAATATGTGTCATTGCCGCATTTGTTTTGGTTTCAATAATAGACTTTCTCATATGTCAACGAATGCCTGCAAGATTTTTCCTCCAGCAAGACTGCCTCTTTGTTGGAAGAAGGATCCAAAATGTTCATTGCCATTTGTCATTTAAGAAATTCATACATAGCAATTTGATGGGTATACTTTGATTTATGGGTAATGTTGCTTCACATTGTCTCAAAGTTTGATGCATGATCTTTGTTCAGCTTTTACCCTTGCAGAATTTACTTCTATGCAACAAAATGAAACACATGAATTTTTTAGGTGTCACCGACCTTCAGTGTGACCCAAGGTCACATGGGGTTCTATTGCAGCTAGGAAAATAAGGCCAAAAGCTCAGTCCGAGCAGCAAACCAATCTCCAAGAATTTACCTTAATTTGTGCTCTTTACGGTGTGTGTCTTTTGCCTCATTCCAGCTGACCTTTATGATCAAGATGCCCCTGCCCTGCAACTGAAGGTCATCAGATATGTGAGTGGAATCCTGTTTATTTCTCTCAATCGCACACAATCTTACAGATGACCTACTTTCCTGTACCATTAGTATAAGGTTAGATGTAGGGCAGAGGAATTGACTGTTGCTAAATGTACAAACATTGTGGCATGAAAACAGCCTGCACACTATCTTAAAACAAATTGTAGACTACTGTTTCATTCTAGAACTCTCTAAATAGTATAATGTTGTCAAATATTCTGTTTGTTGCAGTTAAATTACAACTCTTGTTGGTAAATTCTGAGCTGCAATATGGAACATGGTAATTGCAAAAACAACAATATCCCTTACAATAAAGAACTTATTACCCTGCATCCTTTTGAAATTTTAATATTACTATTAGCCAAAGTGCAGTTCTCACAAATGGCAACCTTTGTGTTGCTAAGTCCCGTCATCAGTCATCTTCAACTACCGCAAGTAGCGCCCTAAAGCTTCTCACAGCTGACCTTAAGTTGCATTTACAGCAGAGCAGAGTTGAAAGTATGGAGACAAATGTTTTCTTTGACAGAACCTGGAAATAAGCCAAACAGATCGGGAGAATCTTAAGTCAGAGCAGACAGCGAGGTAGTAAGGAGATTTTGTCAAATACTTCTTTGGAAGAGAGATTACAATTCACTGTATTCCCATGGAGCATAGAGATGGTATTTTATGTGTAAGGTTACTACATTAGGCTGAGTACTTAGAATGGCCATTCTTCTTACTGATAAAGAAGTCATTGTGGAAAGTGCAAGTTGCTACTCTTTTAGAGCACTCTAGGGTGGTTGAAATTTATCGTATAAGAATTCTAATATGGGGTAAGTAGTATTTGCTGCTTTTAAAGAAGGCTTCGGTACTGAAATTGATTTCATAATGAGACAAAGAAGGCACGAAGGGAAATGTTCTGCCAGACATGTTGTACTGTTGAACTTTTTCGTTACAGTAAATCGATAACAAACTTCCACAGCGTAGAGTCATGTCCCAATAATGTGACAGACTTACAGAGATTCATACCTCTATTAAGACTGGAAACTATGGATTATCTTTAATTGTTGCCTAAGAACTGCATTAATTATAGACTCATGTAGGATTGTATTTTCCATGCCAGAAATAATGTGATGCCTTCTGGTTATTGAACTCATCAATGGCCAAGTAAGTTTGGAAATTTATCATCTATAAGTTACAAAGTTCTTTCCAAAGTTGATTCAGATGTGCGAGATTTCAATGTATCATGTAGTCACAATCATATATAAGTGCATTTTTACATGTAAAATATCCTATGAAATAAAGCTGACAGAAAGTTACTAGTAATCAAATGAAACATTTTGGTAAAGAAAGAATAAAGCAATAGCAACTGCAGTTCAGCACCAAGGCCTGAGCATAGTGGTTAGGCCACCAAAATGAGAAAACCAGTAGGATGACAGGGACGGTTGCTGGACATGAGGGTGTGCAGCCTCGAATGTAAATGCAAAAATGTGTGCCCCCATAACATCCTCCAGTGACATTGCTTCACAGGACTCAAGTTCTAACCACTGGACGGTGGAGGGCAAACATTAGAATATTATTTTGGAACCCTGATGCCTTTTCAGAATGTTCCAGATGAGGAAACATAGCGTTGCCACCATATTATTCATACTATTTTATGAATCCCGCATTTCATTTTCGTACCATATGCTTACCATTTGCCCTTTTTCTTAATTAGATGGAGTAACTCTCTATTAAAGATCACATCAGAGCAGGTTGGGAAATGCCAAAAGTTCCTCATAGATCATGGCAGCGAACATGATAAATGTTTAATGAAATCAATACCTACATGTATATCACCGGTGACAGGAACACGAGTCATATGTCTGGCCCACTGACATGTAATGACCTCTTGATCCCAATTTTGAAGAAAGATTTATCCTGCCAGAGTTTTTTCTGCTCTCTGAGCAGCGTTTTGCCGTGGGCTTACCTGTAACTCATAATCCCTGGATTAACCCTCCCCACGGGTCACATACACTGATGCTTCATCAACCCTGCTGCGGCATAATGGGAGCTAATGTCTGACAGGGAACACAGCCAAGTACAGGACAAACTTATATGAAGGTCATGCACAGCAAAATTATGTTGGAATCTGGCTGATTTCGGTCTGACTGATATGGTGGCTTGGCTCTAGATAATTGTCATTGCAAGAAGGTATTAAACATTGATATTTAATAGTCAGAAAGCAATTAAAAAGGAACACTGAGTCAGTCATTTCCAGATTAAATCTGTGAGGCACACAATCAGCAAAGGACTACAGATGTGACTTGTGTATTGATCATGCTCGTATGTTTCAACTGTAAAGATATGATTGATATAGGTATGTCATAGGTAACTTAAATTCAATTTGATGACAATGTTGCAGTATTATTGTATTTCCAGACTCAGAAAAAATTCGAACTTGAACTATGAGTAAGTTATCTATAGACTGTTGTGGTCCAGCCTACCCTTCTTTATAGTATTGACTATTTCTGCATGAAATCTGAAGTACTGGTGTCTTACCAGCATTTGTGATTCTATGCTGGCCAAAATGTGGATGGGTAGTGTGGATGAAAACACTACTGGTAAACAAAGTCCAAAGTTGTTTGGCCATATAATTTTGGTCCTCAAAGGTTAGACATGTTTTGAAGGGTCGCTCCCCCACCCTAGTCCCTCTTTGGTAAAGGCAGATGTGACCAATACTACCGAGTCTGACATGAATTCTCGTCACATTCCCCAGTTGAAAGGTGTCCAGTTGATTTAGTCCCAGTTTTGCCAACTATGATGGGGCCTTAATGGCAATGTGGGAAACAACCAACAATCCATCTCACAGTCCCATTGCCTGTAGTACTTATAGAGACGAGTGAAGACTCCATGATATTACAATCGCATGGGTGTTGCTCTTATCTAGCAAAGTAGCTCCATACCCAATGGCCACCAGCATCATTTGGGTCCTCTGTAACAGGCTGTGGTGGCTTGTGCAACTTTCGACATGTGCCCGACTTTTTTGTCCTCAGATTTCTCGCCAGTTAAGTTTTGATAAAATCAGTTTCACCGTATTATCAGCATGGACTACTTAATATCGATCAAAACTTCAGTCCTCTGTTATCGTCCACTTTTGACATCTGAAGAGGATGGTTGGCATCAAGCTGCACAAGCCATCCCAAGCTATTGAAAAAGACACCACAGAAATCGGAACGACACAGCCATAACAATATGTAGCCATTCCTTGGTACATACATTGTAGGGTCAATGGCAACTCCTCTAATACATGAATCCATCTCTGCCATACCAGTATTACCAGTTCTAGAGGTCCTGTCATCACTGTGACAGTGGATGTCAGCGCGCATATGTTGATGGATGAAGCCATTCCTTCTGCACTTTTTGTGCCATTCCATCAGCTTGTTCTATCCATTTTGATAACACTCAGGTTTTGCAAAAGATACATATTTGAAACATTCTACTGTTAAGCAATACTTTAAATTCATGAGAAAATCAATGACTTAATCTAGTAAAACTTGTCACATACATGTAGGTCTATCAAAAACCTATTATATATAATAGTATCCTTCCTATATATAAGTCTTAATATGTTTATGTTGCAAAAAGATGCCTATCGATCATTAATGAGATATTTTTTTCTTTTATCTAAATTGTAGTTACAAAAGGTAACAAGGGCAGAGTGCTGTCTGCTGCTGCTTGTAGCTGATGACACTGCAGAGTTCTTCTGTCAGGTAAGTTTAAGCAAGGAAGCTAAAATCACAGTCACCAACTCAAGTTGTTGTCTCTCAGCTTAAAGACAACATTATGTTGAATGGAACAGCGACATCAAAACAGTTAAAGGGGCAGTACGTACCTTGGTGCACACAGTTTTAACAAGTGATAATAGTCAGCTACAAGTTTTCTTCCCAGCCCTTTGTGTTTATCTCAACCACTTGCTAAATTTTTGCTAAAAATGTCTGACAACCGATAAAAGAATTTGGGGTGACATATAAACATTTGCACTGTGGACAAGATGTCAACAAAACATCAGGATACGTGTACCGGTAGATGGATGAGCTTTACTGTGGGATGTGTAGTCGTTTGCTATTGTTGCAAACAAAGATTCAGCCATTTTACAATGTCCATAGGGTTAAGACTGAAGAGTAGATAGACAGGCATGACTGATGTAATGAGGTTACAAGTTCCATTAGCTGTGGTGTCCTTATCTTGTCACACTGCAGCTCGATACACTACCATGGCAGAAAGTCGATACTGGGTATTTGTAGCACATTAATGAAGGATCTTATCTGGACAGAGTACACTACGGCATACGTCGGATGTAATACCTTGCTCACTGGGCAACATCTTTTGTTTGTTTTTTTACTGTAGTCTTGCAGTACTATCTATCCATGTAGCTGGTTTACAGATTATGAAGTTTGTATAGGATGTATGATGAAGAATTCAGACATATTGTACTGTTTGAAGTTTCAGGAGTAAGGACATGCACAGTTTGTACTAGCAATTTGTTTTGAATGTATTTAAGTTGAGAAATTTTCAGTGCACTCCATTTTAATAAAATGAAAATAATGATGAACTGTCCCACAGGTGATTGGAGAACATGTGTTGGAAGAAGAGCTGCGTTTCCCTGTAAGTACTCCTTACTTTCCTGCTCGTAGCATATCTGAAAGTAGTTTGCAGGGCCTTTTGCTCTAATGATGCACTTGATTTGATTTGCGCACAGACGATGCCATTCTGACGTCAGTAGGCATCTGATATGTTGACAGAAACCGGCCGTACGTCAAGTCCCACCGGCTCTTTTTTCTACGCTTGAGCTTAAGTGTACAAATTGGCTCTGGGGTGCCAGTCATAAATTAGATTAAGTTTATAAGATGAAACAAGTGCAAGAACATAGAGGTAGGGTTTAGTTGCCATCTGTTGTTTGCAGGAAAGTTGAAAATTTGGATTTGGATTTTGTGTCTAAAATTTTCAACTCTGTTTCTTGTGAAACATTTTCTTGTACATGCAGGTACCTTGTATATTATTAGGAAAATTTTGCAGAAGGAATATCCAGGACTGAGAGACTGTTATAAGATATGGGGGGGGGGGACATGCTGGTGATCTGGTGATGCTCCCTTGTGAAATGTCTGAGTGGAAAGCCCTTTATAACTTTTATCATCTAAACTCAAGGAGTAATGATAGTATTCTCCAATAATGGACTCCCTTTGATATGCCTGAATGAGAGCATTCTTGTCATGATGGGATTAACGCAGGACTCCATGATGTCAACATTATCACCTGCAATTTACTGCCAGCTTTCTCTGCCTCCAAGGCTTAGCCATAAACAACTCCCCCACTTCAGATACAAGTATTATAGACATGGATCTCATTGATCCTGCAACATGTCATCACTGCCAACTTCTGAAGCTGACGGACAGTCTGATGGATGGTCTGTCTGTGGTGCTGAAACTGTTGTAGTTATGAAACATGGAAGGTTTTCTTTCTGATGTCTATGATAAATAAGGTTAAAGGCAAGTCCTATAGGATTAGTTATAAAATGAAATCAATGTAGCTTTATCTTCATTTGAGTTCCTCTCTAATTCACATCCAAATGAATTACCAATGTGCAAAGAAAAAAGAACAATGCATGTTTCTGAAGAAGGGAAATCTTCTCCATCAGCCATCTGTAAGGTTTAATTATTCCTTTCATCACAGTTTTGTCTATTGCTTGTTGAGTATTTTTATTTGTTTTGTTCAAATCTGCTTTTGGAATTACAGAAGAAGTTCATGCCACCGTTATATGCATCTATTACGTGAGATACAGCAGAGCTGTACTGTATCTATTCAGTGGATAGCTGGGGGCAAATTCATGAAGTGTAGATGACAAAAATCAATAAAATCAATCCTGCGTAAAGTGAATTAACTGATCCAGTCGTTGTGTCCATCCCTTTTGTGAGAGATAAGGCTGGACATGCGTCATGCAGGGATATGTTTGCCTCAGATATGACTGTTGATAGTCTGTGTACTTGTAGAAGGTGAACAGAGGTTGAAGAAGTTGGAAAGGATTTTCAAAGCGTTGTGTTATGTTGTCTGTGTTTGAGGGAAGACTGGATAGATCGATATACATGTTGTAAAGTTGTACAACAGTAAGTCATTGATATGACTGTGCATATAAACTGTAAATTGCTCTCATATTGGAGAATTTTAAGAATAAATTGTGGCATTTTCTGCATTAGAAATGTCTTATTGATCATATGTAGGCTTCTTACTCATACATGTGATTTGTTATTTGGCCAACTGCTAAACCTAATATTTTTGCCAGAATTACTGCATCAAACAAAGTTGGGTAGTGGATATGCTAAAACAAACAAGTTTATCATCACATCGCCATTGGTCTGATTGTTTCATAGAGATTGCAATGATGCACAGACATTTTTTCATACATTTTGGTAAGGTTTTAAAGAAATCTAACAAGTTTTTATAACATTTGCCTTTGATGTTGTTGTCTGCCTTTTTATCCAATGAAATTTCTCTCAGAGTTGTTTTTTTACCATCATGGCCTTCTATAGAAGAATGCCATCAGAAAACCCTTCCATATGGAGTATTCACCTCACTCACATCATTTCTGAGACTGCAATTATTCCAGCTGGCAGGCTATCAAGATTGGCGATTCATCTTCCACCAAGTATAGGCATTACCACACATAAAAGGATGGCAATTATTGTGTCATGTTTGCCATTGAGAAAGATGGAAAAGGTAGCAGCCCGACTTCCAAAAACCTTGAAATGAAAAAAGGATTTATCTTCTAATTTCATTTTTACGACGATGCAATGCAAGGCATGGATAATCGTGGAGCACTTTAAGTATTACACTTCAGCTGAACATGAAAATTGATATGGCATTAGTTTCTGCAGATAGGTTTCGAGTGTCATGTTGACTTTGTTACTGCAAAGAAGTATTTCTTATCAGCTTACCACAGTGTGGGAGTATACTGGAGCCTTTGATTCTCTGGAAGGTTGGATAATATTGAGCTGTCGTATCTAGTTAGCAGCTTGGGTTTGAACTTGAAAGTGATGCGTTGGTTTTGAAGGTTAAAGGTCACCCAATGTTATTTGCTTATGTCAAGGACAGGTATGCATGCAAGAAATAGAATAAACATGATCAGATTACAGTGGAAACTGTCAATGAAATTTGATATCGCACTGGTCAACTGAAGGTTGATTTGGTAAGAGCTAAGCCAAGTATTGGAGATGCAAACTGATTAGGAGTGAGAGGTTTTGAGCTTACAAAGTGTAAAGCAAAACCTGCCTTCAGTACGCCTTTGAAACTGGTCACACATGTAGGTTTTTGTATATTATAGCAGTGGTTGGAATTTAGAATTTGTCTAGATGAATAATGCAGAATAGCATGTTGAATATCAGCGGGACAAAAGTACATGTCATGTTAGTTTTGTGCTAAATGGCACATACACTTATTGATAACAGCGTAACAAAGTTTATGTTGGTTGTTTTATGGGACACAGTAGCTCTTTCACAATAAAAATGCCATAAACGATTTTCCTCCTGCAAAGTTACAGTCCGTGCATGAATCACGTATAAAACTTGCATACTGCAGTCATTTCAGTCATAACTGACGTACATGTACATATGCTGTACCCCACTTGATACTAGTAGCAAATACATATTATACAATGTACCATATACTTCTATATTTGAGACTCTGTCCTGCTTCACAGGTTTCCTACTGTTAATGTGTTCCTTTCATTGGTGATTTAAACATTCATAGTCATACATTGTATAATATGTTCTTCCAGTTTCATATTCCAATAAAAAGCCGTCATCCGTTGTTTCCTTCAACTAAGCAAATTGATGGCAAAGTGTGCCAGCCATGTACATGTGGCAGTCAGTCCAAAATCCCACTGTGTTCTCCCTGATCACTACCAGCGCTGGTAGTCGTAAAGGGCATCTCTCCATCACATCCTGTCCAGTACCCCAAGGTACTCTTACCCTCAACTCCATCCCAAGAGCCCTCTTAACCGCTGCAAGAGGTGAACTCTCCTCCTTTCTAACAACTCTTCACACCCGTTGGGTACCCCTGGGACGGGCATTGATGGTCGTAAAGGTGTGATGACTTTTGCACTAATGGTTGTGCCATGCATGGCAGTGGGAATGTGGAGGCATGGGAATTTTGCTGCTGGTTATAGGCGGTTTACTGTCAAGGACGTTTAGTTTTCGTATGCTTTGTAAATGTCTTCCATGACAAAGTGGGGTATTTATTTATATATATGTAGTACATGTATTAGATGAGAAGAGTAATGGAGGAATCGTGTACTCTGTTATGTTCCTGCCATGAAAAGTTGAAAGTAGAAGAATAGGAAGAAATACAGGTCCATGGTTAGGATGACTAATATACGTGTACTAATTTCCTTTCATTTGGAAATTGTGTTGTAACAAAGCCCTTTTTTAAGTCAAAGTCTAATTTTTATTCCAGTTTTTTTTTCTCCTTGCAAGATTGTGGAGTTAGTAATGATTATTCACTTCAATCTTCTTCAAAAGCTGCCAGGCTAAATTCAATACTCAATTGATTTCTCCTCATAGCCCATTGACATTCATCATGTAAAAGAGGTGCTTCTTCATTTGACTCTTTCCTCCTTGAGTCTGACACTCCTCAGCTTTTTCTTCATCTCAAAATCCCTTCCTTTAACCAGTCTGTCTGGGCCAGTCTTATCAGTATGTTGTTAGTCAGGCCACTGAGCTGAGGTATTACTGAAGACAAATCTGGCAAGGAGCATGGATCATAAAGGATAAGGCACGTGGGTGGCAGGAATGCATTTAGATAAGGTCTTCGAAGATGAAAGGTTTTTGTGAAGAAGACCTTAAGTTGGTCCTCACCTGTGGTCTTTGAAATATTGTATCCAAGGCCACGCCAATTTAATCAATTGGCTCTTGGATTCACTTTTTTTCTGATTTACAAAAAAGGGGATTCAGGTTCTGAGACGTAACTCCAAAATACTCATATTTTGATGAGCATGACGCTTTTTCATGTAGCTGAAAGAGCAATGCAGCTTTGATATGGCTTGTGTTTTATCAGCCAACCACACTGGGTTACTCTTAATTTTATTGAAGACTGTGAGAGTTCCTTTGACATGCAGAGGTTTAACACCTTAGGCTCCCCCATACATGCAATTGACATACCAGAATGCAAACTTGTAATCTCTGGGTGAATAAGTTAACCCACATGGTGGGATGGTACAGCACTTTGACATGGAGACACAAACATAGTAATTCTACCATTCAGGACAATTTCCAAGGTAGATATGCTTGTCTGGTTGGATTTTCAGGTCAAAAAGGTTGGTTATCCCTTCTACGGGGAGTCTTACCATTTACCGGGAACTTTGCACTTGGAGAAGATTTCATGTCTCCCAGCTGTCTGCCTCTCCACAGTGTTAGAGACAGCCTGTCTCCAGACTGATTCATGTGTATACAGTACAGATATGTCCGTTGTAGATCATCACTTTGTTCCTTAATTACAATGATTTCGGAGCAAGATTTGTTGTAGTCTATATTAGCATAGGACTGAAGGTGTCAGACATTGATAAGGGATGATTATGGAACTGAGATGAAGGAAAGAACAATAAAGTCAAAGAAGAAAGTGGTCAGAGTGTAATCTGATGTTAGTAGGAGTAATATATGGATGTCAAGAGACTTGAAATAAAGTGGCAGTCCACCCAATACCCTCCTGCATATGAGGCTAGACACATGCTTGTTCTAGTGCCTTTTTAGGTTGGATCTGACTAAATACAGGCCTGGCAAAAGGAAAACAGAGTTTGATGTTGAATTCAAGCATTCTACTGTTCCCCAGAAGTATACTCCATTATCTATAATGAAACCCTGAGGGCAACTCTTGAATCTTGCAGGGTTTTCCAACTGCCAACTTTACTTGCATATCAACCACTGTAAGGAAAATTGGTTTTGGCAAGAACCAGTAAAAAGCTTTTAAGAATTAGTGATCTTTTCACTAGTCGGTGCCTTTGCTAAGCAAGGAAAATCACTTTAAGCTACCTCTGAAGCCAGGCGTCGCAAAAACATCCCTGCAGAGTGCAGACAAGAAAGGGGAAGGTAACTTCATTACTGTCGGCCTATTCATCTCCTAAAGTTGCTCTCCCCACAGGTTTTTTCTGCCTTCCAGCAACTTAATCAGGTTTTAACGCAGAGTCTACAGCCTGCCCTCAAGGAACAGAGCTATTTTTCCACTTGCTTTACACTCTTGATTCAATCAGTGATTGATTGCATGTAGCCTCTAGGAACCCAGAGTGCAATTATGGTGGAATAAGAGTGTTACTGCACTTTTTGGAGTGGCTTTTATGCCATGTTGATATCTCTAGCTTAGTATGTAGCGCACTTACATAGGCAGAGCTATCACAATGAAACAGAATGTGCATTAAGCAGCAGAACAACTGCCTTAGAGAAGCTATATCAGGTCCTATTCACTAGACAGTCTGAGAGTGCTGTGTCATTTTGATGTTACAGTAACAACTTGTCATAATTGTATTTTGTAAGAAGATTAATCTTTTCTCCAAGAAAGTAGATTGAACTGCCTTGGGCCTGTTCCACAGTAAAAGTTATCATAACCATTATGAGAAGTCATCAGCTTCAACATTGTAGAGGTTTTTGTGAAGAAACGATTGGCTTAATGGTCGGATAATGATTGAACTTTAAAACCTCACGATCTTGTGAACATTTTTGATGACATTACAGATGACAGACTCATAACCCAGTCAACCTTTATGTCTTAACATTGTGCAGTGAAGAGTGAAATTGCCTCCCTCAGTTATCAGGTTTTATTTGCCATGACTGATTTTTGCCTCAAAGTTCATGGTGTCTAAGTGTACTAAGATAGAAATCTAGTTATACTGTTGAAAAGTTAAGTTAAGTAGAGCTTAACTTGGCTTACAGATCATCCTATCATGTTTTTGAGCTGTAACATTGTGCTGTAAGTCGTAATATAAGTTTGGTTGAGTACATTGTACATGAGAAAAGATTTTGCTAGTATACATTGGCTAAATTATGTGTTGCTCAAATATAAGACGTCAGGTAGTTTTTGTCACAGTGTTCTTCTTGTGTCTAATGATACTCTAAGAGTATCCTCAATTTTTTCATTTTTCAAACCAGAGGTAGCTCCTCCTGTTTTACCAGAGTTATTAGTAGCAAATGTGTATCATTTAATCATCAAATTCTTTGAGATTCATGTTTGAATGAACATTTTTAACATTTCGGTTGTTTCTCCCTACAGATTGACCAGAGCTGTTTAGGTCATGTGGTATCCAGCAAAAAACCTGTCACGTTGGAAGACTTGGACTCTGTGAGTGAAATGTTCTTTGCATGGTACTGTATAACAAAAACATCATTCTGTAGATGATACGATAGTATTATGTATTCAGCAAATGAGCAATACATACAAGTATGTGTAGATGAAGCATAGACATCCATGTTGTGATGAGATACATGTACATAAGGAACTTGTTACTCTAGAGTAGTGGATACTACTTAAAACATATGACAGTTTTGAAACTGTATCCTGTTGCTTGAGTAGCCTTTCATCATGTTGGATGGTCAAAGCAGTGGTTCTAGCTGTAATCTGCATTTCCTTTTAGAAAGGCAAGGAGGAGCTGCAGTCTTTGGTGCAGCATGTCCAACTGGGTGAGATCAGGTCCATGCTGTGTATCCCAGTGGAGAGCAAGGCTGCAGGAAACATTGTGGCACTGGCTTGTGTCTTCAACAAGAGGGACAGACTCAAGTATGGTTGCAAAATTCTATATCATGATAGATTTCTGGTTTAGATGTTATCTGGCATTTTGTTTCTATCTACAAAACTTGGATGGCAGGGATTGAATATTTGGTACTGAATACACATCCAAATGAATGTTAAGTCAGATGTACCATGGGTAAATATAATCTAAACAGGGTACTTAGTTGCAATATTCGTTTGACAAAAGAAAGTATGTAGGAAAGAGGGAAGGAAGGAGGGAGAAAAAAAATAGTCAAAGACTGTTGTCCTTTTTTTTATTATCTAACAGACAACACATTAACTGAATAAAGAGAATCTTTTTACACAACCAAGAGGTTTACTCAGACATTTCAATGACCGTCTGTTGCCTTCCTCAGGGCAATTCTGATGGTCACATTGCACAGCACAGGTGTTGCTGCAATAGAAGTAAATGTATTACAGTGGTGTTACTGTCCTGTGTTGCACAGGTTCAGCTCTGGAGACGCATCACAGATCCTGACATGTTTCACCTACACATCCACGGTCCTGACCAGCACGCTGGCTGTACAGAAGGAGAGGAAACTCAAGCTAGAGACCCAGTCCATGCTGCAGATTGCAAAGAACCTATTCACACATTTAGGTAATAAACACTGTTCGTATTGTTGTGAAAATACACACCAAATCACGAGCTGCAGTACTCCAGCAAAATGGTAGAGGGAGTTCTCCCCTTGTCCAAACTTCCGGTTCACACAGTGCTGAAATGCCATCCAATAGGTAATGCACACAAAATCATAAGCTGCAGTACTCCAGCAAAGTGGTAGAGAGAATTCTACCCTAGTGCAAGCTTCCAATGCACACACGGTGCTGAAATGCCATCCAATAGATAATGCATAGTCCCAAGCTGCATTTCTGAGGCAAACTGATAGGGGAAGTTGTGCCCTGTTCAACCCCCTAGTTCTGAAAGGCCATCCAATAGATAGAACATAGTCAGATCCAACCGGGTACCTATGCCAGTTTGGTCATTGGACAGACAAGAACTTATCAACTTCTTTTCTCACTTTTCAGATGATGTATCTGTTTTACTACGAGAAATCATGCAAGAGGCCCGGAACTTAACACATGCAGAAAGGTTGGGTATAACTTACTGTCTTTTTTTCTGACAAATTTGGACAGTTGGTAGTACAGATGAACTGTACTACAAAATACACATCTAACAGATATCATTTTGTTATTATTTCAGGTGTTCCCTGTTCCTGGTGGATAAGGGGAGGAGAGAGTTGGTTGCTAAGGTGTTTGATGGAGTTGTAGCAGATGAAAGTGAGGTAAGAATCCGTAGACAGCATCTTCTTCCTGTACCTACACTCTGTTATAACCCTTTGAACTTGACATTAGATTTCAAATTATACAGAACCACTAGAGGCATAACCAAATCGTTTCAATATTGGTACCATGACACGTACAGTAGGTGGTATGCTGTGTCTGATTCCTAAATATGTAAAATAGAATTCAACTGCAAAGGTTTCAGAACAAACAGTTTGTTAGCAAATATTTCATACCAGCCCTTAATTATGCTTGGTTTCTTGTCAGTTGTTGTTTGTCAGTAATTAATTAGAATCAGAAGATCAGGGTTTTTCTTGCTATCATTTTTTCTTGCACAAAGCTATCCCTGGTATAAAGTCTGGTATAAAGTATATAGAAATTGAGTCTTGCTCTTTAGCCTGCTGTTTGATAGGCTACTGTATTTTGTTTGGGAACTTTGAAAACTTTTTTGCCATACTTGCCAATACACCATGTTGGGCATTAGATCTATTAAGTCTTAACCAGGGTGTTTTCAGAATGTCAAAGCACACTCCTTAGTGTTGCCCTGCATGTTAAATCTGACAGCCTGTCTCTTTGCATGCTCTGTCCCATCCTTTCAGGCTCAGGTAAGAGCAGCAGATGTTGTTTTGTGTGGTTCACCTGTAGTTACAGACACGCCTAGCAACAGCACACCTGTGTGCCTCTGCCACACCCGGAGACAACTTGTACACATGAACTTGTCAATGTTAGGCTCTTTGGTGCAACTTCTTGAACAGTGTAGCTGTGTATTAATCATAGAAAACCGATGTTATTTTGACTTGCACATTTCCAAAGGTTTATAAAGGTGTGGAGTGCAGAAGCAAAATCAGTCAAATTTCATTTGAAATGTGTTTTGCTATAATTGAAATTCTGCAGTTGATCCAAAATCTGAAAGAAAATATTATCCTTAGCTATTTTAGCATACCAGTACTTCATTACATTAATCTAGAAGAGTTCCATTTACTTCAGTTCATTACTGGTTATGCTACAGTATGTCCTTCTAGATTATGCTGTTAGTATTCTCAACATATCATTTGCACAATGCTAGTTGTAAGTAACATTCATGTAATTGGTTTTAGAATGTGAGAGGTATTAGTAATAGCCAGGGTATGTGACACGTATAATATCTTTTGGTAGTTTTCACCCTACACATTGTAGTAACTGTTATAACTTTGTTTAAGTTTTTAAAGCTATGCTGTGATATAGCACCTTTGGGTGTAAGGGAATGGTGTTAATTGATAACCTATTATTATATTAATATTATTATCAGGTTGTAGAGAAATTCTTTTGTTGTGCTGAAATTGTTCACTTTTGAGTTGTAGCACACATTGTACAGTACTGTCACCTTACTAAGATCTTCACTGTAACACCAACACTTTAAAACAATAGGTGTGATTGTGACACATGTAGGTTTGCTACTGTTGGTGGTATGCAGTATCACCCGTTTGCCCTACACCCCACACTGCTATGTACTAAAGCCTCGCTGTGCAGGTCTTTCCCCATAATGCAGCGCTAAGGACCCTACTCACCCAACCCTCTCCCTCCCCCCAACCCAGCTGGAAAAGCTTAGGCAGGAGCTTGGACCCAATCACAGGAGGTTGTCTGATGTGCGAGTAATGGTGAGTCCGCAGAAAAAAAGGACAACAACTTAAGTCTGCACTGCTTGCTCTGGCATAATTATTAGCTGGCAGCTTGTGCCTTTCTCGGTGTTGGAAATCATCCTGTACTTTGGTCTATCTCCTTTCTCTCGCTCTTATACAGGAGTACTGGGAAACGTCACTGTCCTTTTTCGAGGACAAGCCTTTCTCATCATCTTATCATATTTTCACAGAATCAATGTATTGGAAATTACTTAGTTGGACAACATTTTTATCTTGGACATCAAAAAAGATCAAAAAGAGTTCGAGGAGAATCTGTCACAATCTTTTGTTTTCCAAAAATTGATTCATATTTTTGCTGAGAATACGAGATGTAGATTCTGAATGAATCATGATGAGGAAGCAAAAATGCAATAAAAGCAAACCAACAACATTTCATATTGTGATTTTCAAGAGTATATGATAAAAAATACTTTTGAAAGTTGTAGTAGTTTCTTCATGTAGTCTTAACTTAATCCTAGCTTCTTACCTTGAGTGACACTTGAAGCCACCCCTAACACAGACTTGGCTCTAACACTACCTAACATTCTACATGTTCACTTACTGCACTAAGACATACAAGCTGTTCCATCCAATCCTCTCCTTTGTACTAACAACAATCTCTACTTTCTCTGATCCAGATTATTGTCTGCTCTGAATGAAGCTGAACCAATACTTGTTAAGGACAGAGTATCGAGGGGTCCTTTTAAAGAATTCAAAAGAAATTTGTATCTCACACCGATACTTCTTTGTTTCTTTACAATGCCTAGTACAGACTTTCTTTGCAATGTTAATTCTACTGTAGATAATTATGATCGAAGATATTCATTGTATTACTAACACCAGTAGGTGTCAAGAAATTTGTGTACTAACTTCTTCTTTTCTTCACTATTGCAAAGACTTTACCCTTAGGCTAGAAGAAGTGAATCATGCATTTCTTGCCAGATTCAGTATCTTTTACAGCTCGGCATTGTGTTATTTTGAGGTGAAGGGAAAATTACTTAACAACGTTAACTATTAAATGGTGGTAACATAATCTGTAGACTCCCGTACAAGATAACAGATAAGATAATAGTGGGAACATATCTTTTCACTTTTTACTACTTCATAGAACATGAATGAGCTGAGGATACCCATTGATCAAGGCATAGCTGGGCATGTGGCAACTACCGGTGAGTCTAACTACTGTAGTGTGTTTGGCATATTTTCTGAATAATGACGCATGTGATTAGTGTCATTACTACATCTTTTAGGTCTTAACTTTTACTTAGCTTATAGTATGTGGTGTGTATAGTCGAAGCTGGTGTGTTACGCCGAAAGGCGGTTATACCGGCTATACAGATACAGATACAGAGTATTATAGAGGACATTACAGTAGACTCTAGTAAAGTTGGTTGACCTAGACTTGGGGGATTTCAATTAAACACAATTGCCCTGAGGTTTTAGGACTTGATGATGTACCTTTTTTACCAATTAGAGAGGCTGGTTGATAGGTTGGCATTAAAGCAACAACATTCAATGACTAATCACAAGTTTAAGACATTATGCAACTGCCTGTTGTTTTGTTGATGTTCCCATGATTGCTCTTCCTCCACCAGGGGAGATTCTAAACATCAAGGATGCATACTCCCATCCGCTGTTCTACAGTGGTGTGGATCACAGCACTGGCTTCAGAACCAGGTAGGTCACTTAGGGTGAAGAGCTACATGTAGTTGTCCGAAGTATAGAAAAAGCCAAACTTGCCCAGAGTAACCACTCAAAAGACTTGACTTTCTTGTAAACGGTGAAGGTAGACACTCAGATAGATCAGTGAAGAGCAAAGTGAAATAATGGTAACTGTTCCTGATACTTCCGGATCTTACAATGTTCATGTCTTCTTCCCAGGAATATACTCTGCTTCCCAATCAAGAATGAAGGACACGGTAGGGCCTGGCTCCTCTCTCATATTATAAGAAATACTGTAGATTTACAAGTACACTGGTAGATATACATAACGAAGTTTGAAATACATATAACTGCTATCCTGTTCATCATTGTTGAAAGGCATTTGGTGTTTTTTTAGAAGCCTAGCACTGGAAGACAGAGCAGTATTTATTGTAAGGCCAGTCTTGATAAAAGGGTCATTGAAGTTAATCATTCATGTTCTTGTAAGGTACAGATTACTTTGAAGTATCCATGCTATATGGTGTACCTGAGTTTTTACCATGTTCCATTTTTATCTTCAAACATGTCTCCCCTTCACCCCCACTCCTGCCCCAAATCTCCTGCCAAAAGGTCCAATACACCCTAGATGTTCCTCTTGTGTTTGGTTACGTTTATTTCATCCCCCTCCCCACCCACCCCTAAAGGTGTTTGTCAAGTGAAGAGCCTGTCTTGAAGTGATTTTTGTTTGCTGAAGTCTGCTCTTCTTTTGTTCATGGCTTTCACAATGACCATAGACTCTGAGGTAATAGGCAGTTTTCTCATGGGGGACAACGAAGGTTAGTGTTGATTTCACCAAGTCTTCCTACTCTAGGAAGCGGTGTAGTGTGCAGAGACACTGGCTGAAGTCAAACTCTAATGAGAGTTCCAGTGAACCTTGAGCAAAGTATGCCATTTCAGGGTGTTGAAACAATGTAGAAAGCTGTAGATCTGTTAGAACTTGAAAAGAAGTTGAGAGTGTTTGAACTACATAACAAAAAAAACTAGTGTTTGTTTTACATCCTCAGCTACAATGCCTCTACATATAGTACTGTACAGCAACTATCTGCAATCTCTAAGTGTGTCCAGAGATCCTATCTTTTATTCTGAACCAAAACTAGTGTTTGTATAGCTCCTCTGTAGCTACAATGTCTCTACACACTACTGTTAGATAGGCATACTAGTACTAGTGTTGTTGCTCTAGTGTGTGATATCCTACATGCTCAGTTTGTCATAACTGAGAGCTACATTGAAGGGACGCCCTGCTAATGTGATGATGTTATGATTGTGTCGTTTTCTTTTCCAGAAATTGTCGGTGTGGCAGAACTATGCAATAAAATTAATGGTATGTTGTTACAATAGTATACATACAGTGAAGTACTGCATTTTAGCATTTTTATAACTATTGTCAGGCACATCTGTAGATGTGGTGCAGTCTTACACTGTAGATTGTAGAGAGTATTTCAAGTGCAGATATTTTTGTTGTGTACACGCGACTAGTGAGTACTTAGCATGAGGTGACATGAGGTAGTGTGCATATTTCTACTGTCTAAAATCATCTATAAACTAGAGGTCGGAGGTCTCATGTCTTCGTCAGAGGTACATCGTTCTAGAGAAATTAACATGCGTATTCTTCACTCTTTTTAATAATCAATTTGGTCTAAAGAACAAAAGAATCTCTGTACTATTTTATGGTACCGAACACCCTGAAACGGTTTGCTGCAGATTATACAGATGCGTTGTCACCCGTGTTAGCCCCCCCCCCCCTACGTTATTTGAGTTTGGACTGTTACTGGAAAAAAAAACCTTCAAGAAATTCTTACTGTGTTGAAAGTGTCACGACAGCGCCGCAAAATATAATAAGAGAAGATGTTATAAAGGAAAGAATCAGAACAGGGCGACTACTGCTGTTTTGTTAATTTGTCTTTATGACAAATAGAAGACTTGTTTCTTGTGTTCTTTGTGTCCTAACATTCCAAATCTAGCCATCTCGTTTTTCGGCCCTTCGTGATTTTATTGCGCGCTTGCCTTAAATTTAAGGTAATTAGATTTAAGGTCTCCAGTGGACGTCATCCATAGCAATTACTTGGTGTGGCCGTAGAAAATAACCTGACATATGTCCAACCTATCCTCCCCCTGCTGAAGTTATAGTACAATCCCTCAATGTAACGTCATTTGATCCCATCCCATTACGGGGTTCCCCCGAACTTCCCCGGCTATCCAGCTGTCGGCTGTCTCCAAGCAGATGTAGGTGGGGGATTTCTAAACACAAAAGGTCCTATTACGGGGACATAACGACCTCCACGACTCTCATCTTTGAACTCAATCTTGGAGACCACCACAGTAACATGCCTATCAAATTTCATTAACTTCCATCCACACATACAAAAGTTATCCTGCTCACAAGAAAAATTAACAAAATGCCCCCTGTAGTCACAACGAAACCCCCCACGAAGCTCAGTAACGAACTTAACCTTGGTCCCGACAATAGTAAGCACGACACCAAGAATTATGATCAACATTTTACATCAGTTATCTTGCTAACAAGCCACAAACACAAAAGGTGCACTAACGTGACGCACGGACCCCCCACGAAGCCGAAACTTGTACTTGACTTTGGCCTCAACAGCGGTAATCTGCCTGTCAAAAATCATGGACGTCGAATCATGCCTTCCAGAGTTATATCGCAAAATCCGCAGTTCCCCACACTCCGGCAAGACAATTTCATAGTCCTTCTGACGAAGACAATAACACAATCCTCCTGACTTAAATGTTCCCTTTAATGGCTTTGCCATTGATTGTTCATTGACGACATAGTATTAAGAAGGACAAGGCTATTACCTAAGACTGTAGTGTACATGTTTTAAAGTGCTCACACCAGGGGGGATTTCTAGTGTAATTTTATAATGTCGCCTGTCAGATTTAAGGTACAAAAACTGTTCAATGTATTTATTGCTAAATGAATTACTGATATTGGTACCTACATGTAGCTATGTGTTGCTTTCAAATGAGGCAGCAAATAACTGGAAGAGAAGTGTGTGTGTATAAGTGATATTGTGTTACAATATTAGGGCCATGTTTCTCCACGTATGACGAGGAGCTTGCGCAGGCCTTCTCTATTTACTGTGGAATCAGCCTTGTTCATGTGAGTACCACCTGCCAATACTTTTCTTTTGGAAAGGTAGTATTTGAAATGTTTTGATTGTTTTGGTTGTTTTTCAGTACATTATTGGTATACCTCCGAGATGTCCTGTTTTGGTAATGGTTTTGATATTCCCCCTCTCCCGCCACAGTCCTTGCTGTACAAGAAAGTTGCAGACGCCCAACATCGCAGCAAGCTGTCTAACGAGCTAATGATGTATCATATGAAGGTTTGCACTACATTTTGTTTACTTGTATTCAATTTGGTTTTGTACTGGTTTTGTCTTTGGTTTTAAACCAGCAGGTTTTCTTGTTATGATGCTTATATTCATAACTGTCAGTGAATTAGTAGATTTTCAACTCAGAAATTTTGTCATCAACACTCTAAGCAGTAAGAACATGTACAATTACAACTTGGAACCCATTGACTTTGATGCTACAGACTATTTCACAAGAAAATGTACATTACAAATTATTTTCTCAGGTAAACGAGGATGAGACAGCACGGCTGATAGTTGACAAGATCCCAGCGATCACCAGCATCCATCCAGATGTCTTCGTCTTCAGTTTCACTCCCAGAGTCATCTATGATGACCAAACCACTCTGGTATCTAGTTACTAGTTACTTATTTCAGTTTTCTTTAGCCATGGTGCCTCTCTAAGTGTTGAGTAACTGCTTTCTAGTAAGACCACATAACGTTTCATGTTCAAAGAAAATCAAGATCAATCAATCCATGAGATGTTTCCTCAAACTTGTTGTATAAGGGAAACTGCATCATTGTATGGATTACGATTGGAAACCTTAGACAAACACTAAGTCTTAATGGATATGTATGCTTGTGTGAGTCTACATCATACTAATAGTCTGAGGTGTTATGTATACATGTAGTTCAATGTTCAACTGGTTGTTTCATCAGTCAGAGACAGTTTCTAGCTGAAACAGAACCCTGCCATTGATAGTGGTATGTTTTAAACCTGACCTGATGGATAGTGAGGATCAGATTGGAGGCAAAGAAATCTTGTTTGGCCATCAGACTGAGTTTAGATGTGTTCTACTTTTACTTCAAGTACGTGATAAAAGTGTGATATAGTGAAGAAGATTTCCCTGTCCTTGGTGCTGAAAGATAAATTGTGCACTTTCCAATTTCCTAATTCCCTAAACAAGTTTTGTCTCCCCAGCTCTATGTTTTTGCATGTGAAAAGTGATGGATAGTCTATAAGAGTTGTTCTGATCCCATTGTTTGCTTCCCCAGTGCTGTCTCGCCATGTTTGAGGACATGGGGATGATCAACAGGTGGAGAATCCAGAAGGAAACCCTCGTCAAGTAAGGCCTTGTCTTCAGAATTAAAGTGATGAATCATCATACAGGAAATAGCAACATCATAAGAAGTTGCATCTTTTTTAACAAGCCTTGAACTACAGATGCACTGAGAGAATAGGCCGTTTTTTTCTATTTTGTAACATATCAGCAAACTTATGTAAGATATCAGCAAAGTTATGCATTTCATCATTAATTTTGCAGAAAGCTCACAGATATACCAGTAGCTTTAGGTATTATTGCTGTGCTTTCTTGGGATGTAATGTGAACCATGGCTGAATTTTTTGTAGGTTTGTCCTAATGGTGAAGAAGGGTTACCGTGACCCTCCGTATCACAACTGGTACCACGCCTTCTCCGTCTCTCACTTCTGCTACCTGCTCTACAAGAACCTACGCATCGACCAGCTGCTTACGTGAGTCTTTCACACCTCCTCTATGTCTTGAGCTGTGCATGTGATGTTTAGAGGATACTCGCCCATCAAATGCAATCCACCCTCCTCACCCATCTGCATCTATGTTTACCTAAGCTACTGTAGTAAAAATCCTAGTCCTAGGCAAAATGCCTGATGTAAGATTGTAACTAAAGTAGTAAGACTTAGTCATTGACAAATCTTGAGTTTAACTTCCATGTAAGTTTCTCACAGTGGTATTACATGCACTTGTTCCACCAGTGTTTTACTGACTGCTTTTTCTCCATTTCCCCCCCAGGGATGTGGAGCTGTTTGCGCTGTTTGTAGCATGTTTGTGCCATGACCTGGACCACAGAGGAACCAATAATGCCTTCCAAGTTTCCTCAGTGAGTGCAACCTTTAAAAAAAACTGTAGGGGGGAGAAATAGAGCAATTGGAAAACATGTTCCTCTAATCCGTGTTTGTTTTTAGCAGAAAAATGTGAGTGTAAGACAATTGTTGGACCAGGTTCATATGATATATATGTTGTATGGCAGTGATGTATTTAGTTATATGGCAGTGGTTAGTGTATGATCAATAATGATGTCTGTATGATGTAGATTGTGTTTCTGTTTCCCAGAAATCAGTCCTGGCAGCTCTGTACAGCTCAGAAGGCTCTGTTTTAGAGGTTTGTACAAAAATCAATAATATTAAATTGTTACCATTTTCACACCTTGTCAATTGAAGTGATTTTTGACAGGACAACAGTAGAGTAAAACAGAATCTTGAACACACAATAGTCATAAGAACATATTGTGAGGGAAATTCTAAGACATTGGATCAATCATTGGATTTAACCTTTTTGTTGTTCCACTTGCAGAGACATCACTTTGCCCAAGCCATGTGCATCTTAAACACTGAGGGTTGCAACATCTTTGAAAACCTTAATAAACGGGTAAGACAATTTGCTCCAACATTTCATAAAACATCACAGTTTCTAAGATATTCTAAACAATGTAAAACTTCTAGAAGTGGTTGAAAATAAAGTTCTTTGAAATTCTTAAATATATAACAAAAAGGAACATTGCTGTTATGCCAGACAGACTTTTCTATGCAGCACATTTAGTTTACAGTTACTCTATGTTGTTTTATTTTCAGGACTATGAACAAGCCCTGGACCTGCTACAGGAGATCATCCTAGCCACAGACCTGGCACATCACCTGTCCGCTGTTAAAGACCTGGAGGCCATGGCTAAAGGTCAGGCTCTGCTGGTACAGACTTGAAACCAGCAAATTAATGATCTGTCGTAAATGTAGTAGCTATTTGACTTATTTTTAACCTTTTTGCATGTACATACCTGTTCATTTATTTTTTGTTTGGTAGATTCTGAGCTGCTACGATTTAGCAGCTTCTGTATGTCAAATCTAAACATATGAAGACCCCTCTCTTATTTGACGTAATTTTGTGTGCTTTCTGCAGAGGGATATGACAAATCCAACCCCAGGTGCCACACCCTGCTGACCTGTCTACTGATGACCTCCTGTGACCTGTCTGACCAGACCAAGGGTTGGGGGACCACAAAGAAAATAGCTGTGAGTTTTCACTGATACATTGTGGTTTGTTTCACTTGTGGTTTGTTTTTAACTTTTGCATGGGAGGCAGCCAGGGACAGATCTACTTAGTCTCAAATGGGAGCATGTGGTCCTGAGTGAGTGGGTGTGTGAGTGAGTTGTTTCATTCCACAGCCAGGATCTGAACTGCTCTGTTCCACATTTTTCTATTCTGTCTGTAGAGCTGCTCCGACAGTTGTTGGAATGTTTTAGAACTGACACTTGTTCATTGCCTGACAGGAGCTGATCTACCAGGAGTTTTTCCGTCAGGGTGACCTGGAGAAGTCCATGGGGTACCGCCCCCATGAGATGATGGACAGGGAGAAAGCCTTCATTCCCGACCTGCAGATCAGCTTCCTGGAGAACATCGCCATGCCTCTCTACAGGTCAGCAGGGCACGGGGGTTTAGTATGGAAAGTTCTGGTGTTCTAGCCAGCATCCGTCTTCACGTCATTTGACAGAATTTTGCTGCTCGTGACGGACAAAAATTTTGCCCAATCCGTCATCTCTGACACAAAATCGATGTCTGTAAAAGACATGGAAGATGTCATTTGATGGACAAAATATATATGGAAACGATATGATAACTAATCATTAAACTAAGTAGCCTACAAGCAAAATTTGTCCCTCAAATGCAGGAAAAGCTATTTCAGATGGACCTCCCTCTAGGATTGTTGCGCTCTGATGCAACACCCACCCCTTTGGCGCATGACATGATGTTTACGTGAAACAAACTTAGGGTAGTGGAAGAAAAAGCTGACTTAGTGCTGCTAGTAACGTGTACAAATTGTATGATATGGTTTTTGTATAACTTCTCACAACTTTACCGTATTATTTTTGTATCCTAACTATTAACCAACTAACCCCATATAGGATCCTGGGAGACCTCCTGCCAGGGTCAGAGTGCGTGTTTCAAGCCGTGAAGGCGAACCGCGACACCTGGATGCAAGTTCGAGAGACCGCCAAACGCAAGCCCATTACCCACGGCAACTCCTTCGACTTCTTCAAAATGCTGGACGAGGACGATGACAACAGTCTGGTCAACAACGGGGAGGGGGGCAAGGCCAACCACTGACAGGGCTATATTATTGTTTAATATACACAATACATATCCCCTTACTTTTATACGTCAAGTGGAGGAAATTTGGTGGGAGCTGAGCTAACGGAGCTTTGACACCAGTAAGTGGTGCCAGCAAGACAAAGGGAAATAATATCATTTTTATACCAGCTCTGCAAGAAAATGTAAGTGTGCATGTGTATAATGTATGTGTAAATAGTCTGTGGGAAATATTGGAAGTCAATGTTTCAGAGATGGAAAACCAGATGTGGTTGTACATGATTAAACAGTGGTGTCAGATTGTGCTGTGGTGTCATCTGCTTCTTGTGTAAGATTTGTACTTAGCAGTTGAAGAAAATACTGTCAGTGTTGTAAATAAATATCATATTATACTTGACGGGTTTTATAGATTCACTTTTAGGTTTTAAAAAGCACTATATGTACCTACGCACTATGATGTAAATTGTTCTACAACTTGTTCTACATGTAGAATTGAACGTTTTTTCACCCTGTAAAAAGTTTTATTTTTGCCCCACTGTTGTCTTGTATCTAGTATATATATATATATATATATATATATATATATATATATATAC